GGGAAGAGCGCAATGATGGTGCCGGCTTGGGCCAGTGAAACAACGTCCTCCACAACTAGACTGAAGAACAAAACAATAGCAACTTGTCTGTTCCCCTTCCCCCGATTCCCCAGCACTGTTCCCCTCCCCTAATTTCCCAATAAAATCTTTAAAAAAAAAAGTTACTTATTCTGTGTTGTATGTTACCAATCTTATATAATATTTAGTTTATTTGTTCTCATTTATTTTCAATTCTAGAGTTTGCTTTTTTCTAACTTCATAAAATTTGAAGTTCTTTAAATTCTCAGTTAAAGCAGCTTTTGTAATATCTATTTTTTTTAAATGGTAGATTTTTTTGCAAAATTACTTGGTTTTATGCTTTTCTGAAGGGGTGTGGCTTTTTGATAACTTTCTATGATTTTACAAAAACTAGTCTACTTAAATTTTCTGTTTCTACTAGGGTTCATTTGGTAAATTATATTTTTCTGCAAAATTACCCATTTCATTTACATTTTCAAATTTGTTTGCATAGAGGTATATAAAGTAGTCTCTTAAAATATCTTTTTAAAATTTCCTTTGTCTTAATGGCTATTTCCTCTTTGTCATTATTCAGATTGCCTCAATAATATAGTAAGACTATTCGAACCACTACAAAACAATTAAGAGAACAAAATAGTATTTATGAGGTGTTTTGAGTAGGCAGAACCAAACAGTACTATGAAGGGCATTATGTTTGTGATTCAGCTTTCTTTGCAATGAAATGGGAATAATATGTTTGGATCCTTATGCAAAATGCTAAGATTAACCAATAATGTCAAGGAAGTTTATAAATGTAAATGGTCATACAAACACACCCACAGAATGAATCACCTGTACAATACAAGGAAGCTGTCTGAAAAGTGGAATGGGGACAACAATAAGGAGATGGTGTGAAGTATAGTCAATTTTTTATAAACCATGAGGAGATAGTCTTTTTTTGGATCACTTGTGGAAACTTTCAAATTCCTTGGATGCATTTCTATTGACACTAAACATATTCCTGGGTTTTCTGCTTCCTTTCTGCCTATTCCCACCCGCATAAGCATACAGAGATGCACATACACTTCTGAGTTAGTATTGGCTCTAGGAATGAAACACCTTGTAACAATTACCTTTTTAGAGATAATCAACAAGAAAAATGAAATAAATTCCAAAGTAAAATATAAATTAAGCTTGAGTAACCTACTAGTTTTACATTATTGACACCATCATTCTAGTGGATTAGGACACTGGACTATGTACTTTACATATGTTACTGTATTTGAACCATCCAACACCTCAGTGAAGCAAATGTTATTACCCTATTCTGAAATGTAAACATTGAGGCTTGAAGGGCAAGTCCCTATCTGCCTGCCTTTACCATCCATGGTTAAAGCTCTTGCATTAACCAGCTATGATTTCCCCATTCTCTGGAAATTCAAGATTCTGCCCACAGATGCAGGCTCCAGCTAGCAGTCATGATTCTGCTTTGTGACTCTGACCTCTGGCTATCTCGTGCTAGCTGGTCCAATTTTTTTTTCCTTAGAATTTGAACTGAAACTCAGAAATGACTAATTAATCCTTGCATATGGTTGGAGTGATAACACTTGGCAGCTGTGTGGGCTCATTTTCTGCTTTGGGAGTCTAGAGTCTGTCGAGATGAGGAAGAATAAAGTAGATAGACCCAGGGAGAAATGCAGGGGCACAAAAAGGATTCTAAGACAAGTAGCTCCCTGGAATTCGGCTTCCTTCCTTCCCTGGGCTGCTCTGAAATAACCCCATATTTTATTATAAATTCCCCCTTTCTTGCTCAAGTGAGCTTAAATTGGTTTCTGATATAAGTAACCAAAAGAACGTTTACTAAAGTTCCCCTTCTTTATATGGATACATGGCAGTTCTCAGTAGAAATTCTTGTGATTATTTTAGAGTTAGAAGATCACAATACATTTTAGAGCTAGTAGAATCCACTAAGATTATTTCCTTCTCTCCTTTTATTTTGCAAATGCATAAACTAAACTGGGAGGAAATGCCATTCCAAAGGTTATTTGGTTAGTTAGCTGGTGGCAAAGTTGGGACCTGTTTTCCTTATTCTTTACTCATTTAGTGTTACTTCTTATATAGCTAGAGATTCAATCAATAACATTAACAATAACGGACCATGAGGCAAATAATGACATTCTTAAATGAGGCAGGGACCTATTCACACCTTGATACAATTACTTACTCATACCCACTCACACTTGTTGGTTCCAGTTATACAAAGAGGATTCCATTTCAGAGGCTGGTGTTATGGAACGAGGAAACCATTTTCTCACATGTTCAGTGGAATGAACATGGTGGTTATGGTTCCAGGTTGGCCTTTGCAAAACTTAACTCAAAACACAACACAACAACTCTGAGAGAATTTTGAAGGAAAATATACTCTGCCATGTGTATCAAAAGCTGAAGTGCCAAGAAGTGGCTGGGTGATCAGACAAGTTACTTAATTTTCTAAGCTTTGCTATTTCTTCTAAAAAATATGATAATTATTTAGACTCATGGAATTCCTGGTTTGACAAGAACCATAAAGTTTACTTCTAATTTTTAAGATACCTGTTATTATGAAAATTTCAAACATGCTTAAAAACTAGTACAATAAAACCCAATTTCTACCACCTACATTCGATAATTGCTAACATTTCCCCATAGCTGCTTTATCTTTTTTTAACCATTTGAAAATAAGTTGAAAATGTCATGACACATTACTTCTAAATATTCTAGCATGCAACTCCTAAGAATAAGGCTATATTCCTTCCTATACAACTGAAGTGTTGGAAACTTTTTTGTAAAGGAGCGGATAGTGAACGTTTAAGGCCATATGGCGTCTGCTGCAACTACTCCACTCTGTAGCTGTCCATGGAAACATGCATAGACAATACATAAACAAATGGGCATGGTTATGTTCCAGCAAAACTTTAATTTCAATAACTGGCATTTGGTCTGCAGGTTGTAGTTATGGTATATAATAACAACACTATTATGACAATTAAGGTTAACAAAATTCCCTTTATCTAACAACCAGTCCATATTCAAATTTTTGCAGTAATAGCCAAATGTTGGTGTTGTAGTTGTTTTTAACCATGATCCAATCAAGATTCATACCCTGAATCTAAGACGCCTTTTGAGGGCCTACTGATTCCATTCCTCCATGCTTCCTTAACAGCTAAGCCTGTGGTGCCTAGGACATTACAGTAACAAAGGATTGTATAAGTGGTACCTGACAAGTGGGCTATGCATTGGTACATTTAAATCTTAAAACAATTTAAAAGAGGTTAAGAGCCACTGCACTCAGCTGGAATTTATGCTTCTGCATATATAATGGTAATATCTATCAACTATTTATCAATATATCAATATCTGTTCTATATATTATCAACATACTACAGAAAGTCAACTGTATATCAACAGCAATGTCAACTTAATTAAAAACCAATGAATTCATTAAAATAACTAGAGTACGGTTATCCAAAGGAGGAAGCTAATACTCTAGTATAATACTTAACTAAAAACAGAACAATCTAGCAACCTAGTATTTACCAATCTAGTAAGTTAGTACTTACCTAGAAACAGAACAATCAATAGGACTATAATAGTAAGGAAAGCCTTGTTCCAGAAAGTTGCAATTTTACTCCAGATCTTAAACGAAAAAATCTTTTGCCATCTGTAAAGCAATACAATTACATTATGTATAAAAAAATATCAAAAGAATGTTTTGAAATACTTTACAAATAATGAATTAACATTTTGGTAGTTGTGTAGTGAGTAAAAAGAATTACAGAAATTTAATTTTTTATGTCATATCAGAGAATTACCAATTCATAAGAATGTCATGAAATAATGAACAACTTCTTTCAAATTTAATAATAACCTGACATTTTATTATTTTCTGCCTGGTGGGTTAAATTTTCTACAGTGAAAATAACTTTTAAAGGAAAGATACATGATCAAGAACTAAAAAAGGAATTCTTATAGTAAAATATTATATTGCTGATAGAAGCTATCACTTTATATCTTTTCCCTAATCAGGGTAATAACTCACAAATAACAAAGATCTATTGGTCTAACAATTAGCAACATTTGAGGAGTAGGGGGTCCAGCTTTCTAAACTATTTATTTTTATATAGTACAATTTTAACATTTATTTCAAGTAAAAGAGTTTCTCTACTTTTACCACAAAAGAATTTAAAAAATCACTGAGGTGTTACATACACACAGTAAAGTGCAAAAATCTTAAATATATAGCCTGATAAATTTTTACATATGTATATACCCATGTAATTACCACCCAAATCAAGACTTTGAATGCAAACGCAATAAAATGATGAAACAGTCTAGAATGAATTGAACAGTATCAGCAAATATACAGAGGTAAGAATGCATGGATTAGGGCCGGCCGAGTGGCTCAGTTGGTTAAGAGCTNAGCAACAGCAGTTCGAGTCTGGCCTGAGCTGAGCAGCCACTGAGCTGCCAACAGGTGGCAGGATGGCTCAGCTTAAAAAAAAAAAAAAAAAAAGAATGCATGGATTATAAATAGCAAAGAGTGACAAAGTACTTCATCACACAACTGGAAAGGTAAAAAACTTTGTACTAGGACATTTAAAATGAACAGCACATTACCTGAGTCCAAAGAAGACATTTATATATACTTGTACATATATATATGCATTTGTATATAAAGGTAGTAAGCACTTAAACTTCAAACACAGCTTTAAAAAAGGTTTAAGATTATGACAAATTATTAACTAATAAGTTATTAAAACAACTCTAAGTAATAATTTGAAGTTGGTGGCGAGAGGAAGACTGATATAAAGCGGTTTCTTTTGCCTCTATGCTGCCAATTCCAAGGACGCTATTGAAATTTTACATTACAAAAATTTTATATACATACATACATATATATATATATATATATATATATATATATATATATGTATGTATATATATATTTTTTTTTCCCTACCTGAGCCATCCTGCCACCTGTTGGTAGCTCAGCGGCAGCTCAACTCAGGCCGGGAATCGAACTGGAGACACTGTTGCTCGAAGCTTGCACTCCTGAGCGAGCTCTTAACCACTCGATTGGCCCAAAAATTTTATATTTTTAGAAAGAGAACATAAGTGGCAATACCTTGATATAGATCCAGATGTAAATTCACATTTCAAGGGCCAGTATAAAAGGAAACACAAAGAGAGACCCCCTACAGGGAACAACTAGCAGTGTATGACTCCATTCAAGGAAGAGCTGGTAACAGCTACAATATATTGAGTCTTTACTATGGCTGTAAGCACTTTTACATGTTTTAGCTAATTCAATTACCACAACCACTCTGAGGTGGATACTAGTATTACCTCCATTTTACAAATGGGGAAACTGACCAGAAATGGTAAATAACTTGCCCAAGGTCAAACAGTAACAGGCAGTCTGACCTCTGAGCATGTGTCTAACCAATGGGTTATGTGAGAAAATAATAGAGAGCCAAATGAAATAAAAACTGAAGCCTTTTCTTTGAAGATTATGGTGATCACATATAAAAGATAAAAAAATGTGGATACACACAGTAAGGGCATACTGTATGTAAATGATATATGTGCAAATATACCATATTTTCCTATGTATATGAGGGTATATTTATGTAATGTGTACATATACACACATTTATCATATAGTTACTTGATCAGGATAGGAAAAATATTATATTTGGCAGGAAGAAAAAGATCCATAATTTATGGATAATTTTGATGGAGAAAAGATCAACTGACAAATTATTATTTTTTTTTGTAAATTCTTGTAAGTATTACCAAGAAGCCAAACAGGGTGTTATTGAGAATTTGAAACAAAATCAACAGGATGAGAAATAGTGTGACGGAGTAGAAAGAGCACTAGGTTGAAAGCAAGTCTTGTCTGGAGTCAGTCACTGATCAGCTAGATAACCTTAGACCACTGTCCCTATTGACTGAATGGGTTGGATAAAGTGATCTCTAAGGACCTTCCTACAGTTATGATTCAATTTTTTTTCTTTAGTAAGGAAGAAAAAAGTGATGGCATAGCTGATAGACAAAGACAGTAGAAATCCAAGCAGTTAAGAAGTAAGTTAAGAGTTGTGAAAGACTGAACGCTGAGCCAAGGTAAAAACTTTCCTAAGTCTCTTCCAGTCATGGGATCTTACTAAATTTCATGGGGTTGTCTCTAGGATTTCAGTAACGCAAGGTCTCCTTGTATGCCAAGAGAATGAACAAATGTCTTGCAACATTTTTATTACAAGTGTATTTTACCATTCATACTAGCAAGCTTTCTGGATCTAAAACTGAACTCCCAATAAGTGGATTATTATAGGGGTAAAGAGAGCCGATGTTTCGATTAAATAGTAAAGATCTTCTGAGGTCCTTTAATGCTAATGTATGGCTCTGGTACTTTTCATATTCAGCAATTTTAACATATATTCATTAATTCTCTGCGTGTGTGTGAAGTGGTAAAACTACCATTAAACATTAATGAAACTATTTCTTGGTTATATAGGCCAAAGCTAAGAATCATTTATTGGCTTAAGTTTCTAAATTGTCATTTCACTGCCCCAGTGAAACATTTCTGAACCCATGCTGTGCAGTAAACATTATTTATCCACCTACCTTTATTGAGTTCACTGTTTCAATTCAGGGCAATAAAACAAAGGTAAAACCTGATGACAAGACAGGTATTAAAAGTATAACCATTGCTTTGTTATATCTGTAATCAACAAAAGGACTTGGCCCTTTTCCTTTTATTGGGGAGTGGGAAAAGTTAATTCATTTGTACAGATAATGAAACGTTTTATTGTATGTTAATTTTTCAAGAGCACCTTTTATACAATCAGCACTTATAACTTTTTAATCTAAAGAAAACTTTTTCCGTATCACACTAACCAGTCTAAAGGAGCTACTGATACATTCACTATTGTAACAATTTGGAAATTTCCTACCTCTGAGGAGGAATAAAAGGTACACAGAAGATTAAAATGAGTCCTATTTCAGCATAAAGAAAGGTTGCAACTGCTGCCCACTGGAGTGTCATTTTTTTTTTTCTCTTCACACCTAAATAGAGAAACACTTATTTTACTTTGCTGCCTCTCAAAGAAATTGGTTAAATGCCCCCCGAAGCGCAATGTTTTGTCCAGGGTTTTACGCGGTCCGACCCTCCCCTAAGTGGAGGCGCTTGGCGCTAACCCGGAACGGGCAGGGGGGTCGGAGGCCGGCGTCTCCACCTCCCGGGCGGGCCGTGCGCAACTTGCTTGCGAGGCGGCCTGTCGGCCCGCTTCGCGGCGACGGCCACCTAACGCCAGCCCCCACTATGGCCCGCGCCTAGGAGGACCCCTCCCGGTGGCGAACGCGCAGCGGGCCCCTGACCGATGCGTTGGGGACAGGGCCAGCTCCCCGAGGCCCCACCGCGGAGGGGCACGACCCTACGCAGCCTGGCGCTTCACGTCGCCTGGGGGACCGCGGCCCCCCAGGTCCTCCCCTGGCCTTACCCCCGCCTTCGGCCGGCCTAGTTCCCGGCGCGGTTCTGTGACTGCCGACGCGCGGGACGTCAGACGCCACAGGGGAAGGAAGGGGAGGGGAGCGGAGCTCCGGGGCTGGGAGGGGGGAGGCGTGCCCCACCCCCACCCGCAGCCTGCCCGGGTCCCAGCGCCCGGTGCCAGCTCCCTGCTCGGGCCGAGGGTGCCCGGCCTTGCGGTGTTGCAGGCGGCGCCAATACGATGATTAGCAATAACTTTTTCTAATCAGTGATGGAATTCGAGGATGACTGGCGTTTCGACCCGATGCTTGGGGCTACCAAGTGCAACTTATTCAGGAGAGCCGACTTTAAATTTCTAATCAAGTATGGTTTGAGTGGGAGGGGAAAACCGACGTTTTTTGATAGAACTTCGTGGGGTCCACGCAGAAGGAATGGCGCCAGGATGGGAGGGTTAGACAGCGTGATGCAAATTCAGTGAGCCTGTTTGAAACGCACTCCCTTCCGGTTCTGACTGTTTAATGGGAGAAACGGTTTCATTGTCCCGGAATAAACTATAGTTATTTAGGTGTGCAGCATTTTGTTTTTCTAAAACTGTAGAATATGTAGAGTCAAAGCATACTTTTTCTGTAAGTTTTTCTGCTGTTGTCCATGGGCTGGGAGGAGGCAATAAACTTGAGGGTGATGTTTGGGGACTGATAGGAAAGGAAAACAATGTGGGTATGGGCATATTCTATTACTATTTTCCAGGTTTTCAAATGGTGTGAATACAATTATTAAATATATATTTTTTAATATTGACAACTTTGGGAATGCACATGAAAGTATCTTCCTGGGGACAATTATTTTAGAAACATTAAAAATTGATGACAATAGATGTAATTTATAGACTATAAAAACATTTAAGTTGGTGCTTTTATCACAAATATATTTTATTGCATATGAAAAAAAATTTATAAGGAAGTTTAAAAAAATGCGTTTAGAACTTGCTCTTCCATGTTGGTCCCTTTGAAAGGCTGTGCATCTTACTCTAATTATGTTGTTGTTACACTAGTATATGAGGTCTGACAATTAAGCTCACAAACTTGCCACTGTGCGCTTACACTGGGAGCACTGTACAAACAGCTCTGTAAGGTTTCATGGGTATATATCAGTGTCTCACAGCTGTGTTTGTGTCGACATGTGGCGGTGTCTTGCTGAGTGGCATTCATTATTGTTGTTGCATGCTTTTGTGTGCCATCGTGAGAATGTCTGAGCTTGAATTAGAGCAACAAACAAACATTAAATTTCTTGTTAAACTTGACAAGAGTGGAAGTGAAATCAGGGACATGTTAGTCTCAGTTTATGGGGATAATGCCATGAAGAAAAAGGCAGTGTACAAATGGATTACATGTTTTTTCTGAGGGGAGAGAACGTGTCACTCACTGATGGAGGTCAGGGCAGCCAGTAACTGGCAGAACTGATGAATACACTGCAAAAATTCGTTGGGAAGAATGTATATTCTGCAGCTTTGGGGCAAAATGCTCTAAAAATATTGATTAAATCCAACTGGTCTAATGTGTCATTTAAGGCTGCCACAGGGATTCAAAAGACAGTTTGGGGAATATAATCAATAATGTTGTAAAGATTTGGTAGGTTTTCCAATGGACACTTCATGGATGGTGGAGATGCCTGACCACTGCAGTGTACTCCTGAAGCTGAAGCATACTGAATGTCAACTATAATTTTATATAGTCACAGCATGTGGAGTACAGCACAGGGAATAAGTCAATGGAATTGTTAACAGCTATATACGATGTCAGAGGGGTAGTAGATTGGGGGAGGGAGGTTTTCACTTGGTGAGGGGTGTAAATGTCTAACTAGTACATTGTTTTGCACACCTGAAACTAATAAAAATTCGTTGAATTGTGCGTTAAAATCATAGGCTGACTGTGAGAAGCATAGCAGACTACGTAAACATCAATAGAGAAACAGGAAAATCTTAACTGAAAATCTTGTCATGAAAAAGGTGTGTGCAAAAATGGTCCTAAAGGAGCTCACCGATGAACAAAAGCAAGGAGAGTTGAAGTTTGCCAAGACCTCTTGGAGAAGCAAGACGATGTTTTGGGCCCTGTTATCACTGGTGATGAAACATTGGTATACCAATACGACCCTGAAACAAAGCATGGAAGTGTACAATGGAAATCAGCCAATTCCCCACGACCAAAAAAGTTCCGTCAGTTCAAATCAAGAGTCAAAATGATGTTGCTAACCTTTTTTGATATCAGAGGGATTATTCATTGGAAGTGCTGAAAAAACTGCGTGAAAAAGTTAGATGAAAACGACCTGAACTTTTTGCCAATAATTTATGGCTCTTACATCACGACAATGCACCAGCTCACAGGACACTGTCTGTGAAGGAGTTTTTAGCCAGTAAACAGATAACTGTTTAGAAACCCCCCTCCCTGATGGCCCCCTCATCCCCCACTCACCTGATCTGGCCCCCAATGACTTTTGTTTTTACCCAAAGATAAACAAAATATTGAAAGGAAGACATTTTGATGACATTCAGGAAATCAAGGATAATATGACAACAGCTCTGATGGTCATTCCAGAAAAAAAGAGTTCCAAAATTGCTTTGAAGGGTGGACTAGGCGCTGGCGTTGTTGCATAGCTTTTCTAGGGGAGTACTTCGAAGGTGACCGTAGTGATATTCAGCAATGAGGCATATAGCACTTTTTCTAGGGTGATTTTGTGAACTTAATTGTCAGACCTTGTAATTCACCTCAGAGTTAATTTACAAATATAAAGATGACTAAGTTTTGCTGATGGTTCCCTATTTGCTTGTATACTACTGATATTAAAATTATAAAGCTAGTTATTTTAAAAAAATATGCTAAGTGAAAAATGAAAGCAGAGAATGTGCCTAAGGAAAAAATATGTCAACACAGTGCTTATGTTAAAATTGATTCATTTAAAATTCTCAAACTCTTGGATTAAGCAGTTTTAGATAATTGTTTCCTTTTATAACAGTTTTCATGTTGGTAACATGGTAGACCAATACCTTAATTATGGAACTGTTTTATTTTAACTTGAGATATTCTTCTAGTGGCACTTCACCAATAAAAAAATTCTATTAGTAACATTCCCAAAACATGGAATTTAAAAATTAATAGTATTTTCGGCTGCTGGGAGGCATAAAAATAACATCACTAAAAACAGGGTATGATAATTAGGTTTTTAAATTAAAAATAAAACCTGGTTATTCTCTAGGAAATAATATTTCATATACAATCATCTTCAGGTTACCTACCAGCTTTTTATACTTAAAATGCAGGAGAGTGAAATTAATTTTATCATTTTAGGTAGTTATATTTACCAACCTCTCAATCTTCTAAGGATCTAGAAGGCTTGAAATGTAACAAATTTGATGTCATTTAGAGTTTCATGGAAACTTAGTTTTAAATTATAGAAAACATCACATCTAATTAAATTCAGCTATATACAATTTAAAACAAATACCTTGAGGTGTATAATTCATGAATTAGGAAGTACCATTTTGATTTTCCAATTCGAACTTCTAATCTAAGCCCTGAGTGCAATTCTATACAGAACTTTTGGTTCCTTTTCATAGAGGTTTGCATTTTTTTTGTCACTTCTCTGCATTTATTTTCATTAAAAACATACTTCATGTTAACTTACAGATACTATGAGTCATACTTTTAGTAGTAAAATAAAAGGTTTTATTTATTTAAAAATGTTAAAAACACAATTCCTTTTAAGTATATATTAAAATAATTTAGGAAGTCCAGTCAAATCCAATAATGGTCTGTAAGGTAATCTAAGACTGCTGATGTGCTTGACAAAGCATTAAATACTCTTTTCTCTTGCTTTGAAGTTATCTTTTCCATCATGTACATTAAATGTTGATGGAAACACATATAAGGAGTTCCAAGTTCAAGAGCAATGTCAACCCAGTCCCAGAGGCATTTCAGTGGGGTTTCCTCATATCCAGCAAACATGGCTGGGTTGGCTAAGAGTCCTCTTGCAACCATCACACCTACAAATTAAAGCATATCACATTTGTCCACACATTAAGAACTCACAGTTATTAGGTCAAACTCAATAAAACTCACAGAGACCATTAAAAAATAAAGTATTATTACAAGGTTTCATAATGCCCTTATATTAGTCTGTTTAATTCAATTATAAAACAATTTATGTATTTTAATACTTCTTTTTGTAAAGCAAGAAAGTTTAAATGTACTTACAAGTATTCTTTATTTTATTAAGACTTCTACATTAAACAATTAGTTTTTAGGCTTTCTTTTTAGGGTAAATCCCTAAAAATTTAGGTTGTCATAAATTGGACTTCCTTAAAGTTAAGTTTATCTGCATTCTTCCATCTAGCAATCGGTATCACAGGGCTTGGTATGCCAGTAATTTCAGGGGATAATGAAACTGCAAAGCAGTCTCCACTTCCCTTGGTTCCTATGACTACTCTTGTGTTCACTAACTTTCAAGTCTAAATTCTAGTCTAGGTGTTCTATTTTATTAATAGGCTATCTGGAGAATTCTTAACTGGCCATTCACTGGATATGATGGTGTCAGAAAAATAACTGACTTAATTTACCACAATTAAAATAATCTATTGTTTCTAAGTAGAAGAGTTAACATCATTTTAATAAACTGCTTAGCTTAAATCAGTACAACAGGAAAATATGTATGGCTCTAATTTAAAGAAAAATAATGAAAATAACATTAACATTATTCTCCTTCCCCTACTTTTTTTGCTGGTTAAAAGATAAAACTCCAAGTACTTATTTCTTACCATCTGTCCCAGTAATATGCCACACATTTTCTGCTTCTTTTAAGCTTCTGATGTCTCCATTAGCAATAACAGGTATAGACATATTTTCCTTAATGATTTTAATGGCCTCATAGTGGACTGGCTGATGTCTTTCTTCAACAGTTCTTCCATGGACTGTAATCCAGGAAACTCCTGTTGCTTCAGCCTTTCGACAAAGATCTACAGTTCTTGTAAGGTCATCATGGATCCTAAAATTTCAAAATTATATCCATCCTTTTTACAGCACACAAATCAATGCTAAAATTAATAAACTAAATAAAATTTCATATAAAACATTTTATACATATAAAACATATAAAACTATTTCATATAAAACATTATCTATTTAGTTTTGCTCTATCACATTATCATTACATGCCACTATCAAGGTTTGGCTCAAGGATAACCTTCCATTTAAGATTTCAAATTTAGCTATTTTACTATTGGCAACTATAGCATGACAAGTTTTATCTAATGCTCCTCCCTTTTGGCTTTCGTAACTGAAAAAGTCATCCAAGTACTGTCACACATGACTTAAAAGGTGCTCTCTTAATATCTGCTGTACATACACCAACCACCAAGTGGGAGAAGATAAAAATACTTTATCTTGGAGTATGTTTTTATTCTGCCACCAAAAAAACGATTCCTGGTTTATTCTCCTTTCATTGTGAAATTTTAGTGCCAATACCATTCTCTTGGTACCATGAATGTTTCCTGGTATTAATTTCTTACTATCATGGAAAAAGTTGAGGGTTTTTTTTGGGGGAAAGTTTTTAATAATAAAGAGATGTTTTAATTTCTGTTAAAAAATACAAAGAGGAAGTTGTTCTGGATTATAAATAAAAATTGCGGTATATATTCATTTATTAAATGTCTTGTTTTAACATTTCCATATACCAGCTACAAATTTGTTAAGGCTATATACCCCCACAGCCCCAGACAAAAGGAATAGTCTCTTATTTCCTAAGTAAAGAACTATCTTATCAATAGATTAAAATATTGTTTTTACCTTATTTTAATAGATACTGAAAATCTGGGATTTTCCACTTGATTTCTTACTTGTTTCACCATATCTTGAACAAGCTCTGGCTTGTTTATTATGCAAGCTCCATAACCTTCGGCCATTGCCCATCTTTATAGAGCAAACACAACAACAAGTAAATTGTAAATAGCTAAAAGAGAAGATACATTTCTAAAAGCACTGTAAGTACACTTATCCATTTATCTAGAGATCTGGAATGGAATCAGATTTTCACCATTCATAGATCCAACATTTTAAGTGGATCTATTTGAGATTAGGAAAACATGTTGCCAGATCAAGAAGTTCTTAGGGGAAATGGTTTTCATTGGCAAGTTAAGACAATTAAATTAAAATGCATTCAACCAAACCTGATTTAAGTATTTGTAACTAATTGCAATTATTTCAGATTTTTTGAATTCCAAGTTTGAAGTTTATTGTACATAATAAGACGTTTTATTAGTCTTACTAGAGAGATAATTTTGGCTTATAGCATTCCAACACCACTACACAGCTTTTAACTATCCTAATGAGTATACAAATATGTCTAATCTGATGTGGATTATGCTGTACTTAAAACTTTGATTTTATTCTTTGGACACATTTTGAATTACTGTCAGGTAATATAGTACAGTGCTAGAAAGGTAAGGATATTATTGTCAAATTAAGTACATCCTATCAATACCCTGTTACTTAGAATCAACCAAATAACTGTGGTATAGAAAAAAAAAAAAGGTAATTATAAGAAGGCATTCTTATAAAGAAAATTAGGAGAAAATAAATGATCTCCCAAATCAGCGAGTCAGAATTTCTAGAGCACATATGTTTGACGTGGCAGTAAAAACACATTTTAGGGATTGCTATAAACATTAGCAGCTCACATAACTACTTATGGATGAAGTTCAAGGCAGATCCACACATTAAAAAAACTCTGGAAGTGAGGTGACACGAAACACTTTTCAAGGGTCTAAACACTGTTTTAACCATCAGAAAATACCTTTGCATGTATGTTCCTAAATAATCTTCCTTATTTTTTCTTGCTTCTTATATAGAGGCCAAGTGCTTTAACTCTATTTTCCTTACTTTTTAATTCTTGGTAACGTTCACATAATTTTTTTCTAATAGTTTTGAAAATTCTTCCAACTTCTGTGAGCTTTACCTCTGAGGGCAACCACAGTTAATGTCTATTCCATTCGCGTAAGGACAGACTATACGAGCAGCATCAGATAAAAGTCTTGCATCACTAGCAGCAAACTGAACAATCAATGGGCAATCACCTGATAAAATGAATAGCTCAACATTAAAATTCACAGAAACACACACACGATACCAAACTCTAATGTTCGTACAGGATAAAATAACAACTATTTTTAGCTTAAGAAGCATCTGTTCAAACAAGACTGTGTTAATGCAATTTTAAATTAAAAGGAATTTACATTTAGCACAAATTCAAACAGTATAAAATTTGATAAAATGAAAAGTACAACACTTTTGACAAACAGTCTCCTTTATAAAGGTGAGAATTAGTTTATCATAATTCAGAACAATTTTATGTATACCTGTAAAATTTACACAAATATAAACATTCTATGTACACTGCTAAGCCTACTGCTTTTATTCTTTTTTAACCTGGTATATGTGCGAGCTGTACTCGGGCCTATTTTATTTTTTTAGTGGCATATCCACTGTATGGATGGACCACACCACATACTTCTAGACCTTTTTTCATTTGTGGCTCTTGCATATATTGTGATAAGGATACTCTTACATACTAGTTTTTTGTAAGTATATTCATAAGGTAAATTCCTAGGCATGTAACTGTTGGATAGGCTTCCAACATTTTTTTTTTTTAAGATTTTATTGGGGAATCAGGGGAAGGGAAACAGACAAGTTGCTGTCCTATTGTTCTTCAGTCTAGTTGTGGAGGACGTTGCTTCACTGGCTCATGTTGGTATCATTGCGCTCTTCCTGGATGAGGCAGATCGGTGGCCAGCCTCTGGACGGCCACGCACAGTGGCTCCTGGCAGCTCACGCCTGCTGCCGGCTGCTCACAGCAGATCACAGTAGCTTACGGCAGCCCACTGCAGCAGGGGCTGCAGCCTATGCCATCCCTGGCGATTCACGGCAGCCCAGCTCCAAGTCGAGCTGTTGTTCACCATCTTAGCTGTAGAGGGCAGTGTCACTGGCCCTCATGTGGGATCCGAACTGGTGCCCTGCTACTCAGAGCTGGTGTCCCAAGCCAGCTCTTAACCAATGCACCACTCGGCTGGCCCAGGCTTCTAACATTTTAATAGGTATTACAAAATTTTATTTCAGGGTCAGCTGAATGGCTCAGTTGGTTAAGAGTGTGATCTCTGAGCAACAGGGTTGCCGGTTCGATTCCCACATGGGCCAGTGAGCTGCGTCCGAGTTGAGCTGCTGCTGAGCTGCCAACAGGTGGCAGGATGGCTCAGCTGGTGAGAGCACGTGCTCCTAATAACAAGGATGCCAGTTTGACTCCTGCATGGGATGGTGGGCTACACCCACCCGCAACTAAGATTGAACACGGCACCTTGAGCTGAGCTGCCCTAAGCTGCCGAAGGGCAGCCCGATGGCTCAGTGGTTAGAGTGTGCGCTCTTAACAACAAGGTTTCGGTTCGACTCCCATATGGGATGATGGGCTGCGCCCCCCACAACTAAGATTGAACACAGCACCTTAAGCTGAGCGGCCCCGAGCTGCTAATGGGCAGTGGGATGGTGACTGGACTTGGAGCTGAGCTAGCGACGCCCTCCACAACTAAGATTGAAGGACAACAATTTGTCTGTTCCCCTTCCCCACCTCCCCAACATTGTTCCCCTTCTCCAATTCCCCAATTTAAAAAAAAAGTATTTCAAAAGAGTTTACTAATACAGTAAGTCCCCGACTTACGGACATTTGAACTTTCACAGATACGAATGTTGGAGATGTGGAGGGGACTGCTAGGAAGTGCAAAGCAATAACCATGGACACAAAAGTGAAAATAATTGAGAGATTGGACCGAGGCGAAAAGATGGTAGACATCGCCCATTCTCATAACATGAATCGTTCAACCATTGGCTTTACATTGTATATTTGTGTCAAAGGTGTATAAGACTCACTTTGTCAGACTTATGAACGAATCCGACTTACGAACGTTCTCCTGGAACAGAACTCGTTCATAAGTCGGGGACTTACTGTATAGATACATACCAATATGGATGAAAGTTCTCGTTTTCTCACAACTTGTCCTATGTTGTATATCCAACAGTGTATATTTTTATTTGTGGGCAACTGGACTTGGAGCTGAGCTAGCTGCACCCACATCTTTGCATTTTCTATGCACAATTTTTCATTTAGCTGTTCCGTTTTTCTTATTATTTAATTTTTTATAGAACAATGAAATTAACTCTGTTATCATAAATATCCAAAATATTTTACTTTTCCCAGTTTTGGTTTGTCTTTGAGTATATTTGTATGCTTTCCTTACATATAAAAGTTTAAATTTTAATATAGCCAAATGTAGCAGAGCTTTCCTAGGTTTTAAAGGACATATTTTTTATCTTTGGGTTAGTGTTACAAACTCTGGATAGATGTATTTTAATTTTTCTAAAGGTTTTTCATTGAGGGCTACCTGTATGAGATTTACTGGGTGTTTGCCTAAATGCAGACTTCTGGGTGTCATCCTAGTTTCACTGATTCAGAATGTCTATGGCAATATACTGATTTACAGTAGTATCGCGGGCTAGGAGAATTTGTTTTTTCTTGAGGATTTAGGGTGCTTTCCCTTTTGTAACTCAAGGGAGTTGTAGGATGTCAATTTAACAATCATTTATTGGTCTAATACAGGGGTCAGCCACATGCGGCTCTTTGGGTACGTATATGTGGCTCTGAAGTAAAATTGAAAATGAAAAAACTATCATAGTTCCAATTATAAAATTTTTAAAGGACATTATTTACATAATGGTGATTATGTAAAAATATATTTATGGCCCTCGAATAATTTTTAAATTGTTGTGAGGGACAGGATTTGCTCTTCCAGAGGTCGGCAAACTTTTAAGATGGAACGTACCCAAAGAACTGCATGTGGCTTGCGAGCCGCAGTTTGCCGACCCCTGGTTTTATATATTTTCAACACTAAGCTAGAAACTGAGGACACAAATCAGTAAGAAATAGTTCCGGACCTCAAGGAGCCATAGTCGAGTAGGAGAGGCAGGTACATAAAGAGGAATTTATAATACAGTAGGATTAAGTATAACAGAAAGCCTGTGCTTCTGAGAAAGGACATGGTGGAGAGTGACTAGGAAAGTATGTTGGCCACAAAGTGTGACAGCTGGATTATGAGGCATAAACTGTCATTTGCCAGAGATAGCGACATAGGGAACAGACGTGGCTGAGAGGATATTCTAGGTAGAAAAGTGTGGGAGAGTAGAGCATGTGCAGGGACTGAAAATAACTTTGTATTTGTGAAGAATAAAGTCAGTGGGTTGTGGAGAAAAACTAATGGAAGATAAAGTTGCAGAAGATGGGTCAGAGGCTAGATTATGAAGAATGTTATATATTATACACAGGTGCTAGAATTTAACTCTTTAGGCCAGTGGTTCTCAGGAGGGCTTTTTGAAACACAGACTGCTGGACCACATACTGAGAGTTGCTGATTGAGTGGGCCTGGAGTGGAGCCTGGGACTCCCATTTCTAGCAAGTTCCCAGATACTGCTGATGCTACTGGTCTGGGGAATCACACTCTGGCAATGAGAGGTCTAAGAGATGTGATCAAACTTACCTTTTAGAAAGATCACTTTGAGCTGTTTGGAGGATAGTTTGGAATGGGACAAACCAGGGGCAGTAAGGTAGGAATCTAATCTACTACACAGAATGGGGGCCCTTAGGAAGGCTGACTTTATACTTTGTATCATCTATAGGTTACAAGGCACTGAGTAAAACATATTTAAAAAGACTTATTAAAAACATAAAACACAACGAAAAGATTTTAAAATAAAATCTCTGAATTAAGTTGTCTCATTAGATAAGGTAGGGAATTTTGTTTTTAAGTTTTACAAAGTCAGCAAACTCTGGGTTTCACATACCTTGGTTTGTGGTAAATTCACTGTCTCTGGCTTTTACAGATCTGACAAAATCAGCAGCAACTATCATTGGTGTATAGCACAGATCACAACTGTATTTTCTTACTAGTGTTCTAAAAGCCAACCTGTAAGCATATAAAACTTTAATTAGGCATTTAGAAATCACCACAATCATATGTACTTCCAAGTTTAATTTAGTTAAATGTTAAATATTTATTAGAGGAAAGTTCTGCTTATGGGAAAATGGAGATGTACTTTTACCTATTCCTCCCGCTCAGTGTAACTAAAAACCCTGGATATTATATGTAAAACATAAGAAAACTCTAAAAGGTAGAGAGAAGACAGCAGACAGGCTCGTGAACTCAGGACCTGAAGAATGGCAATGGTAGGTTCCTTGGGTTTTCTTTTTGCCTCAAATATCCCAGACTTGGAGCTAAACAAGCCAGCAACCTGGAAATACCAACAGGTTCAGACAAAAACAGCCCCAACAAAAGTCTGCTCTTCCTAACTAAAGGACCAAGAAAAGGGAAGCCTAGTAGGACAGAAAAATTTTAAGATAACAATGGCTCTATTCTGGCCAAACACCAGAGAAAAACCTGTGGCTTCACCTCCAGAAGCAAAGGTTGAGTGGGGAGCCTAGACTTTACCTTTCCAAGCCTGTAACAAGGTCCCCTAACACCCCTCCCAAGTATGATCAGAAAAGGCCAGGTAGGTAGCTGACTTTAATCCCTGCTGGCCAGTAACAAGGTCCCCCTCAGTGGAGATCACACGGGGAGCCTGGACTTCCCCATCTCCCCAGCAGTAGGGAGGCTCCCCCCACCCCCCTTACCTCCCCACCCCTGCCCCCAGGAGTAGTATCAGCGGATGCTTAGTGAAGAGCCAGATTGCCCAGCAATTACCAGGCCACCCCCTCCATGGGGAGTTGGAACTGTCACCCCTGCTCAGTGGTAGTGAGGAGCCCCTGCTCTCAGAATGTCAAGGAGACCCAGTGGGGAACTTGGACTTCTACCTCCACCTGCTAGTAATGAGGTGGTGCCTTCTCATCATCCTTTCCCTGCTGTAGTGTTGTCAGAAAAAAATCCAGTTAAAATAGAAAGTTCAATATCCAGAATCAATGTAATCTACCATGTTAATAGGCTAAAGAAAAAAAATCAAATGATAATATCAAGAAAAAAGCATTTGATAAAACAATACTCATACATGATAAAAAAAAAACTCTCAGAAAAATAGGAATAGAGGGAACTTTTTCAACTTGCTAAAGAGCATCCACAAAAAAATCCTACAACTAACATTATACTTAAAGGTGAAAGACCACTTTCCCCCCAGATCAAGAATAAGGCAAAGATGTTGGCGCTCATCATTTTATTCAACATAGTGCTGGAACTTCTAGTCAGTGGAATAAGGCATGAAAAAGAAACACAAGGCATATGATGAAAAGGAAGAAATAAAATCTGTCCCTATTTGCAGATGACATGATTGTCTACATAGATAATCCCAAGGAATTTACCACCCCCCTCCCAAACAGATAAATGGGTTCAACAAGTTCATAGGATAGAAGATCAACATACAATAACCAACTTTATTTCTATATACCAGCAATAAACACATGGTCACTGAAATTAAGAGTATAATACTATTTACAATCACTCAAATAAAAGAGAAATAATTGGGTTAAGTCTTAAAACACACATAGAATTCGTATGCTAAAAACTACACAACACTGATAAAAGAACTCAAACAAGATCTAAATAAATGGAGAGACACTGTATTCATAAGTTGGGTGACTCAACGTAGTAAGGAATTCGATTATCTTCAAGTTGATATGCATATTTAATACAATTCTTATGAAAATTCCTGCAAGGTATTTTGCAGATATAGACAAGACCATACTACAATTTATTTGGAATGGCAAATGAACTAGAATGGCTACAACAATTTTGAAAACGAAAAAGTGGGAGGATAACTCAGTCTGATTTCAAGATTTATTATAGGCTAGCTATAGTAATCAAGACAGTGTGGTGTTGGCGGAGGGATGGACACACTGATAAATGGAACAAAATAGAGAATCCAGATAAAAAGCCATGCAAACATGCCCAATTGATTTTTGACAAAGATGCAAAATAATTCAATAGTGGAAAGACAGCCTTTTTAATAAATGGTGCTGAAGTAATTAGACATCCACAGGGAAAAAAAAAGAACCTCAACCTAAGCCTCACACTTATACAAAAATTAACTCAAAATTGATCGATGTAAATGTAAAACATAAAATTATAAGACTTTAAGAGAAAAAAATAGGAGAAAATCTTTAGAATCTAGAGCTACACAAAGATTTCTTACCGTTGACACGAAAAGCACAATTTACAAAAGAAAAAAACTGATAAATTCGACTTCATCACTAAATAAAAATCTTTTACTTTGCAAAGACCGTTCATGAAGAGGATGAAAAGATAAACTACAAACTGGGAGAAAATATTTGCAAACCACAAATCCAAGAAAAGAGTAGTATCTAGAATATATACAGGATTCTGAAAACTCAATAGCAAATATATACAAACAGCCAATAAGCACATGAAAACATGGTCAACATCACTAGGGAAATACAAATCAAAATCACAGTGAGATACCACTTCACATCCATTAGGATGGCTGTAATAAAAAATGAAAAACAAAATCAAGTGTTGGTGAGGCTGTTGAGAATTCAGAACTCTTGTGTACTGCTGGGAATATAAAATGGTGTAGCTGCTATGAGAAAACTACATGGAGGTTCCTCAAAAAAATAAAAATTTAATTGCCATATCATCCAGCAATTCCACTTCTGGGTATATACCCAAAAGCAGAGTCTCAAAAAAGATATTTATACATCCACGTTCATAGGAGCATTACTTGCAATAGCCAAAAGATGGAAGCAACCCAAGTGGTCATCAATTGATAAATAAGCAAAATGTGGTATATACATACAATAAAATGTTATTCAGTTTTAAAAATGAAATTCTGATACATGATACAACATGGATGAACACTGAGGATATTCTACTAAGTGAAATAAGCCAGTTCCAAAAAAGACAAATATGGTATGACTCCACTTATATTAAGTATTTAGACTAGTCAAATTCATAGAGAAAGTAGAATGGTGGTTGCCAGGAGCCGGGGGAAACAGGGGATGGGGAGTTACTGTTTAATGGGTAGAGTTTCAGTTTTGCAAGATGAAAAGAGTTTGGATGTACAACAAAGTGAATGTATTTAACACAACTGAACTATATACTTAAAATGTTTAAAATAATAAATTTTAAGTTACGTGTATTTTACCACAATTGAAAAAATTAAAAAACCAACTCAATGGTAAAAAGCAAATAATCCAATTAGAATATTAGCAAAAGACATAAACATTTTTCCAACAATATGCATATGGCAAATAAGCACATGAAAAGATGTTCAGTATCACTAGCCATAAAAGAAATGGAAATCAAAACCACAATGAGATATTACTGTAAAGCTATCAGAATGGTTAAAAAGAAAACCCAAAATAAAGAACAGTGACATTGTGAAAAGTTGGTGAGGAGAAACTAGATCCCTCATACGCTGTTGGTGGGAGCATAAAACAGTAGTTTCTTAAAAAAGTTTGGCAGTTTCTTAAAAAACTCAACATATAACTACCAAATGACCCAGCAATTGCAGTCCTGGGGATTTGTTCTAGACAAATGAAGACTTACGCTCACACAAAAACCTGTGCACGAATGCTTATATTTATTTTACATTATATCTTCATAGGTGGGAGTTATAAGTACTACTCTTTTTATAGATACAAAAAGTAAAGCTTGAAGAGTCTATTTACTCAGGGCCACACACATACCAGGACTCAAGCCTAAATCAGGATCGCAAAGCTAAGTGTTCAAAGACCCCATGTGGTGAGGTGGTCTTACTTTTAAAAATGTTTTAAAAAAAGTCAAAGCATTAAAAGGAAATCACATTAACCATTTAACAACACTTACTTTGAATATCGAACCATTGGGGCACAGACTTTAACCAGCTGCCCAGAATGAAACATTTCCACTGGGTCTTTTTTCCTTTCTTGACACATTGTGGTTTGTATGCAGTCATTCTTCATGGATACAGATGTTTCAAATCTGAAAAAGACAGTTTGCATAGAGAAACGTTACTTTCATCAGATGAATTCCCATTATTCTAACCATTTCAATTTCCAAGAACATATATTTTTCATCAGACTTGTGGGCTTAGGAATCTTTTTAGCTTCTTTTTACGGTATCAAATAGGATACAACAAAATCTGCCTGTTTGTATGTCACTGATAGTTTTTAGCACACTGGGAAATGATGTTTATGTTCTGTACGAATTATGCTTGTTCACGTTAAACACTAACAGTTTCAAATTCTATACTTAACTCATTATAGTAACATTTTCTGTTCAAATTAATAAATGCTCAAGATTTGAAAAACTACAAGGTATTTTGATAATATTCCGTGTTATGATTTTTTCATGTTACTTTAAAATTTTTCCATGTTACTTTGGTAATGATAAACCAGGAAGTTAGATTGGACTCATATCATATATCATACTGTGTATGTCTGGCACTTAGAAATACCTTGTTTTATCCAGGAAAGTTAAATGGCATTAAACAACTTTAAGTAGTAGTTAGCATTTCAAAACATGTACTGGCATGCTTAATGTTTATTCTTATTCTGAAATCCAATTCTTTGTACCTAATCAGAAGACAAAAAAACTTTCAAAAATTTAAATGTGGTATTATCTAGTGAAATTTTCAATTAAAATTATATAATTGCATGGTGAATCACTTTTATACCCAAAGAGGTTCAGGTGATTAAACTAGGTAGTTCATAGTATTTTGTAGTTGCTATTCTTAAAATCCTACCATTTCATAGCATTAGCTGCTTTCCATATTCCAATTTTTGGCCTTAGAAACTTAGACACAGATATTGGCCAATTTTAGAAAGGCTGAATTGCTCAACATGCAATTTTTTATGTGGCTAATCCTGAATGTACTTAGTATACCTAAATATAAACCAATAATTTCAGTTTACTTACTAGGTAGCATGTCAACTTGGAATAAGATAAACTAGTTTTACTAATCACTGTTCAATTAATCTGACTTAAAAATTTAGACAAGGGCTGGCTGAGTGGCACATTGGTTAAGAGTTGGCTTGGGATGCCAGCTCTGAGCAGCAGGGCCCCGGTTCAGATCCCACATGAGGGCCAGTGATGCTGCGCCCTCTGCAGCTAAGATGGTGAACAACAGCTCGACCTGGAGCTAGGCTGCCATGAGTGGCTGGCGACGGCGTAGGCTGCAGTGGGGCTGGCCGGCAGCTGGCATGAGCTTTCGTGAGCTGCCAAGAACGGCCATCCAATAGCCAGCAAGCAACTGCCTCACCTGGGAAGAGTGCAATGATGAAGCCAGCATGGGCCAGTGAAGTGATGTCCTCCACAACTAGACTGAAGAACAAAAGGACAGTGGCTTGTCTATTCCCCTTCCCGGATTCCCCAGCGCTGTACCCCTCCCCCAATCCCCAATTTAAAAAAAATTAGACAAAACTTAGCATCGTATTTTTTAATAAAAATTCATTAGAACAATGTAAGCCACATATGTAAAGAGCAAAAAGGTAGTTCTTTCTCATCAGTCAAACCTGTTTCTATTCTCTTGCATTTCATATCTTGGTTATGCTTTCACCATCCACCCATACTCACTCCAGTCAGAAATCTGGGGTTTCCTCCACTTCTCCAACTCCCAGTGTCAACCAAGAGGCACCTTCAATTAAACCTTGATACATCTCCACTGCCCCACAGTCTATGTACACACTCATAATCCCCCATCTTGATGACTCTGACAGTCTTAAACTCTGAACCCAGATTGAGTTGATCTTATTTACGCACTACCCCCAATCCTGTTATCATGTGCTTTTGCAATTAATTTTATAGAGTATAACAGATGTCTGTCTCTTCATGAGTTTTTGAGGGCATGGACATTTATTTATTCATAAAATGTAAATTCCTGCTAAATGTTGGAAATACAAAAATAATTTCCTATGTCCTTAAAAATGTATTTAGACATACTTACATAATAGTGCACGCATATTTGCACACACGGGTGCGTACACACACACACTCACACACACACACACACAGTTTAACCATGGTGGAAATACATGTCTAGAGAAGTGAGGAGTGTCATCAACAATGGAGAAATGCTTGAGCTGACTCTACATAGGAGATGGGGGAGTGTCCAGTTACACATAAAGCCATAGCCATAGAGGCTTGAAAGTTCTTGATGTTTTCAGTGAACCATTAGTTTACATTGCTTGAGTTCTAACTGGACTAGAGAGGGAGAGGGCCAGATAACAATGGGCCTTGTATACCAGGTTAAGATTTCTTAGATTTTATAATGTATGGCCTTGATTCTTAACCATTTTTTCCTCCTCTGCTGGTGACTTTTACATATGCACTGAACATGCTAACATGTGCATATGACATACTTCCATGAGCATACCAGATATTTTTGTATAGGCTGTATGCTCTCCTGTATATTAGTTGTAATTGAAAAATTGTAGCAGAGAAATGACATGATCAGATTTCTGATTTAAAAAGATTTCTCTGGAGGGGGTAGGGCTGTTGGCAAAATATCAGTAAGGCCATTGTAGTAGACCAGGCCATGTGTAACCAGTGTCCTACCTGGGACTCTGGGAGTGAGAACAGAGATAAGAGAACACAGTTAGGAGTTATTTAGAAATAAAAATAAACTGGCAAGATATTTAGGAGGTGGAAATCACTTCCTGACAGTGCATGTTATGTAAGAAGAAAGAATTCTAGGATATATGTATGCTTTTGGCTTCAGAGACTGGGTGGATGGCAATTCCAATCAATGAGATAGAGAACCAGGAGAAATAGGCTTTGGCAGGGATCACATTTGGGAACACTGAACTTGAAGTGCTCATGGAATTTCCAGATGGTGATGCCTATAACTGGTTATATGGATACGGTGCTCAGGAAAAAGCTAGAGATATAGAACCTTTAACCTTTAGGTGACAAGCTGAAACTAAAACCAAAGTACTTAAGGATGCCTTATCTTGCAAGAAATCCTTATAAACATCAACATTTCAGTAAAAGAGAAAAAGAATGCAAAGGAGACTGAGTTGACCTCTGGAGCTGGGAAAAAGAAATCTGAAGAATGATATTCAAAAAACAAGAGAGGGGAGAATATTAAGTAGAAGGGAGGGATAAGCATTTTAAATATCACAGAAAAGTTAAGTAAGGTAAAGACTAAAAAGTGTGCAATGGCAAGTAGGTCATGAGTGACTTTAGTAAGAACAATTTCATTCTTATTCTTGTAATTTTGCTGACTGAATATATACATTAGTTCTCAACCATGATTGTAGATTAGAATGACATGGGGAGCTTTTAATAATCAGGATTCTCCAACCATATCCTAAATTAAATGTGAATCTCTAAGCTTCGGATCTTGGCATCAGAGACTTTTAAAGCTCTCCAGGTGATCTCACTGTGCAGCTAAGCTTGGGGGGGGAAAAAATAAATCCACATACTCTAAAGCACCTGGTACAATTGTACATTTAAGTGGGTTTCTACCTTACCTATTAGTTCCTTAGGGATAAGACAAGTATTGAGTCTTACGTTTGTAAACTCATTCTGGTATGTATAGTAGGGGCTCAAAAACTCTTCATCGAATGAAGGGGTATTATGCAACTTTTCTAAAATGTTCCAATGTAAAAGCCAAGGAAAGAAAAATAACCCATATGTCAAAGATAATCCTTATTAAATTTCAGGAATTATTTAAAATTTTGTGTATTATGGATAATGAAACCTATTCTGAGTCTGAGCACACTGCCCTGGGCAATTCCTGTGACCATTCAGAACCATCAATCCTATTCACACTGTGCTGAGATCAAGCAAATTATATCAGGGAAAACCTGAAACAGAGAAAGCATAATGCAAGTATATCACGAAACTTGCTCACCTGAGTTGTAATAAGTATTAAATTCATTTAGATTTATAAAGTACTTAGAAAAGTGTTTGGCACAGCGTCAGTACTATTATAGCACTTTCTTGAAATATACTTAGCAGAATCACGAGAACCATGTATTAATAGCTCAGAGTTGAGGGGAAAATGGCTGTGTACCTAAAGGAAAAGTTATATTATAGTTTCTTTCTTTTTCCGAAGAAATGTCTAAATTAACCTTCTTGCATACATGTGACTGACCTGTTCATTTATTAGTACGTATTTAGTACTAAATACGTATTAGTATTTATTATTATCTTGGGAGAAAGCTAGGTCAATGAATGATGCAGATGTAGCAGCAAAGATGACAGAAACTAACTTGATTTTACAGGTTCAATACTGTTAGTTGACATGGAAAATCCATCAGTTTGTAATATTAAAAAGTTTGGCATCACTCATAGCACGTGGCTGAAACGAGAGGTAAAAGTAGAAAAGTAGGTCCGTATCTCATAGGAGGGAGGGCAGAGACTGAGTCCACTTGTTTTTCCCAGGTTCAGTCTTCTTTCTTCACCGGCCCTCGACTCGCCCGAATTCTCACAATTCAATCCCGGCAACTTTCCTTCTCAAACCTTTCCCGCCTGCCTTTACCCCAGGATTGTGAACCAAGGCGTGTGACACAAAAAGCCTGGTAACTTTTAACTCCCGTCAGCTGTGTTTGTGGACGGCAAGCGAAGCTCCTAAACCCCCCAGCTCTCCTCTCCTGCCTCCACTGAGAGGCCCCTGCTCTCAGGTTAAATACTTGCATTAGTGATAAGCGCTGCGGCCACGTTCCGGCGCCCCCTTTCTCTTAGGCCCAGGGAACACCAGCCCCCGCGGCGCAGCGGTAGACGGCGGAAAGCGCCGACTTCGCGGCTTCGGCTTCCCGGGTGCGCTGGGCCCTCGGATCCCGCTTGCTCCAGAACCCACGCGAATCCCAGCCACGTTCCGCCCAGCTGCAGCCAATTAAGACAACTCACCGGGTGGGCCGGGAGCCGCGGGCGGAGCCGAGCAGACGGCGCTGGGATTTTACGTCACCACCTGGGTGGCGTGGGGCGGGCCCACTGCCGACGTAATCACCCGGCATTTGCCAACATGGAAGGTGGGGACCGCGGCGTCGCTGTGGCTAGCCGTGGGGCTCTGGGTTCTGAGGCGGCTGCAGCGACAGTCCGGGAGATTCTGCAGGACGGTAAGGAGTCGGGATGGGTCGGGTCGTAGGGTTCCAGGGCTGTCCTGCTCCGCAGCTGGGCCCAGGTAGTGGACTCAACCCGACGCTTTGCAGAAACTTTTCCGGTATCAACGTGACCACTCCCCTTTGCCCGGCCCCCTGGCGTCTGGGTGCTGGCCTTGTCAGTCTGTTTCCTGGGACCCCTGATTTCTGTTTGCTCCTCATTTCAACACTGCCCTCCACGGTCCTGGGGCTTCCTTGAAGTCCTGGGACCCCCGCACCCGGTGACTCACATTGGCAGCCACTGGCTGCTGCTGCAGTTCTTGACGAAAGGGTGAATGAAGGGTTCGATCCCATGAAAAGTGTAGGATTTAGAACAGATGACAAACGCTTAATGAAAGAGGCCTCATTTTTAAATAGTTAGGAACATCCCTTCTGTTAAATTCTTGGACTGCACAGGTGGCCCCACTTTCAGGCTCATTTGTTTCTTTACAAGGCGTTTTATCCACATCCTTACATGGGGGAGGATGTGGAGTATTCATTCTGGCTGGGATTAACCATATGTATTTAACATAACAGGTTTATTGATAGTTTTGGACAGAAATTGCTACAAATTATATGATAAGCTAAACATGTATATGTGAGAAGCACATTAAATTGAATTAATCCAATTAACAAGCCCCGAATCTCTTATCCTTCAGAATAAAGTTCAAATTTCTCAGACCCTTCTCATCATTTTTGTTTTGTTTTTAAATTGGGAAATTGGGGGAGGGGAACCAGCCAAGTTGTTGTTCTTCGATCTTAGTTGTGGAGGTCACCAGTCGCCATCTGGCTGCCCATCCGCAGCTTGTGGCCTCTAAGCTCAAGGTGCTGTGTTACATTCTTAGTTGGGGGTGGGGTGTAGCCACCACTCCATGCAGGAGTTGAACTGGCAGCCTTGTTGTTAAGAGTGCATGCTCTATCCACTGAGCCATCTAGGTGGGAGCTCAGTTCAAGGTGCCGACCGAGTTCAGTCTTAGTTGCCCACCATGGAACAGGCAGTCATGTTAGGAGCATGTGCTCTCACCAGCTGAGCCATCCTGCCACCTGTTGGCAGCTCAGTGGCAGCTCAGCTCGGGTGCAGCGTCACTGTGAGAATCGAACCGGCAGTCCCGTTGCTCAGAGTTTGCGCTCTTAAGCTAACTCTTAACCTACTGAGCCACTCCGCCTGCCCTCTTCTCATCTGTTCTCAATTTTCTTCCCAAATTGTCATCACGTTCTACTTTGTATTAAAATAATTTGATAACTTAATCTTTTCTGCTGCATTTATTTCACAGTGTTAATAACATTACCTTGCACATGGTAGGTGTGGAATAAGTTTTTTTTAATTGAACATCACAGTAAGAAGCATATGCACACATCTGTAGACCATAGTAGGTTATAAACAAATGAAATAAAGTTCTAAATTGTTTTCTCTGTTTTATATTTTATTATTGCCCTTAATTACTTGCCTTGTGCTCATAGTTTATATACTTTTGTCAAAACTTACTAATGATGTTATTTTCTGAACTATTTTGTGTTAGATTCTCTAGGTTAAGATCTCTGTCTAATGCATCTTTATATTTTAATTTAAATTCAGTTTAACCAGTTTTGGGCTCCTGGTGTATGTGCAAATCCAACCCTCAAGTAGCTCACCACTTTAGTAGAGATACTCTTGTAGAGCTAGAAAGGCAGGCAGTGTGATATAGGGTTGTAATTGGTAGCAGTAGAATTGTGTACAAAGTGAAATGTTAATACAGAGGAGGAGGATTAACTGGGAGTGGTTAGGGGAGTGTCAGGAAAGTCCACAGGAGTTGGTTTTGAAGTGTAAATAGAACTTCTCCAGGGGAAGAAGTGGAAGAAACAACACATGCCAGATAGGGGTATATGTTTCAGTAGGATCCATTCCAGGAGCTATAATCAGCTTTTGGAGGGTAAATATTCCTTAATTCTGCCTTCGGTGTTTTCCTGGTTCTCTTTTCCATCTTCCATAGTGATTATTTAAATCTCCTTTACTCTTTTCATACCTCTCCCTTCAAGCTCAACAAATGACTCTCAACTTTCCTAAAGAGAGAGAGAGAACACACATTAGATGTGAGCTGTCTCCATTTCTTGCCAACAAACCTATAAGCTAAACCTGAACTCTGCAACCATATTTTCTTCTCTTTTCTTTTCCTCTCATATTTTTATTATAATTACAATTTAGATGGAACCTCTGCTCCTTCCTGAGGACAGTTCCTCCTCTTGTGCTCTGGGTTTTCTATTTTCTTCCTGTCTTCTCAAGGGCCCAATCACACTCATTCTATGCCTTTGAAATCGCTTTGCCAAGGTCTCCAGTGACTTCCTTGTGGATAGATCAAATGGACACTTTTTTTTATCCTTATCTTACTTGAACTTGTGAAAGGGTTTGACACCTTCTTGAAATATTTTTCCTCATGTGGCTTGTGAGTTCTATGCTTTAAAGAAAAAATTCCTAATTCTCTATGTGTTCTTTTCCATTTTCTTTAAGATGCTTGTCTTCAGTTTGTCCCTACTTCAGTAGTTCACTCCTTCCCTGCGACATTCCTAGGATTAAACGTTTCCATCAGTAGTGGTGATGCACTATGTCAGGTATCTGCCAGTGATAGAGGATAGGGTTGGTATGCAGATGCATAGTTTGAAAATTTGAGGACAGTTAGTCCTCAAATGCCAAATCCAATGGCCAGTATTCAGCCTTCATCTTTGTAAGACCTTTGATACTACTGACTGTTTACTTTCTTTAAACTGTCCCTTTTAAAAAAAATTAGTTTCAGGTGTACAAGACAATGTAATAGTTAGACATTTCACCCCTCACAAAGTGGTAACCCTCCTCCCCCAATCGATTGCCCCTCTGACATCATATATAGCTGTTACAGTTCCATTGACTCGATTCCCTGTGCTGAACTCCATATCCCGTGAATATAGGGGTGTGTGTGTGTGTGTGTGTGTGTGTGTGTGTGTGTGTGTGTGTATGTTAAATTATAGTTGACATACAATATTATTCAGCTTCGGTTTCAGGTGTACATAAACTCCCTTTTGGTTTTTGCCATTCTCTCCTGTTTTTTTCTTTCTCTCTGAACACTACTTAGTCTCTTTGATTGCTGTCATTCCCTCTTTCTACCACCAAATTTTTGGTGTTTTCTTGGCTTCTGAACTTATCTTCCCCACGTCCCTCTTTTTGTGCATTCTAAAATTTCTTCCTAAGTCATCTGGTCTTTTTTTCATGCTTTCAAAATTAGTATCTATGCATACAAATACACACATATATGGTCCTTACCTTACTCCTGAGCAATAGAACTACTGTCTACTGGACATTTCTACCTTGATAGTGAACAGGCACTTGTAATTCTACATATAAAAACCTATACATAAACAAATAGTACAGGTTCTATATATGAAAAAGTGAAATGAGTTTTTTTTAACTTCTCTCCCGTAACCTTTGTCTCTGATAGTCTCTTACCATTAATTACATGTAGTTAGTTAGATGTGTGATGGTCCCCCATGTAGATTATTAATTCCTTGGAGGCAGGGGCATGGTCAGGTTTATCTTTATCCAAAGATGCCTAATGGTCTGGCTTAATGCAAAGCTGAATTCCCTCTGTCAGTTACTCAGTCAAGGAACTTGGGAATCATCCTTTACTTCTTGTTCTACCTGACCATTGATTGAAATTTGAATATTTGTCAAATTTGTCACTTCCTTGATATTCGTCGTGCCACTATATTAGGGCTTCATCATGTCACTTGGGCTGTTAACTTAGCACCGTACTGGCCTCTGTTGCTCTATTCCTTGGGTGTGCTGGTAAACCAGCTCTGGTAAACTAGGAAAAGCCCTGATTTTGTAGTGTATGCCAGTTTCCATGGTGTAAATCCTCTCACCATGGTCAGTTTTAAGATACCTACATGTGTTGTCAACTGGTTCACACAATTCCTGAAAATTTAAGAGTTAGCTCTCAGGAGCCACTACCAGCTAGCTTCACAGCTAGCTAATCCCCTTCCACTCATCTCCATATGCTGCCAGAGACTGTTTTCTTTCTTGGCTTTAAGACCTTAAATGGTGGATAATCTGTAAACATTTTCAAACTACCCCCCAAATTTCATTTGGAGCCTCAACTCCTATCATTCTTAACCCTTTCTCCCCGACACACATGATGTGCTCTAGACACACTGAAGTTAGTATTCCCCTTATTTCTCGAAATATGCCCTGGTGTTTGCTGCCTCTAAACCTTACCTCTTGGAATGGCCTTCTCCACTTGTCTGCCTGGCAGGATCTTTTATTCTGAAAACTGTTTAGGCAAACTGGAAGGAAATGATTCTCAGAATTAAGGCCCCGTGGCAGTTTCCTTCTTTTATACCACTCTACTTTGAAAGTAGTCAAGAATGCAGAATGATGCTTCCAGCTGACATGTAGATTAATTAATTCAATCAGTATTGAGCACTTGCCATGTGCAGCACTGTTCAGGCTCTGAGATGTGGTAGTAAACACGCCCTCATGGAGCACGTTACATACACCGGGATGCCAAAAAAATGTACACATTTTCAGCAAGGAAAAAACTATTAAAATTACGCTGATGGGAACCACTTTGAGCACCTCTTGTAATTGCAGAAGTCAAACGTGACTTGTATTCATCTTTTGTTATCAGTATATATTATTACAGTTTTTTCCTTTCTTAAAACACATATACATTTTTTGTCACGCTGTGTGTGTGTGTGTATGTGTATGTATGTGTGTGTGTATAATATAGACAGCTATATATATAATATAGCCTATATATAAGGTGTGATAAAAAATATGGTGAATATTTAAATTTAAAAAATTTATTACAGTAAAAGACACACTGCCATTAATTCCCCTCAAAATACTCCCCTCGCTTTGAACACACTTATCCCAGTGTTCTTGCCACTTTCTGAAGCAGTTCTGGAGTGTCTTTATTTGCGCTGTCATGGCTGCCTCGATGTACTGAATCATTTTGACTTTGGGGCAGAGCCAGAAGTTGCCCTTTGCCAGATCCTGTAAATAAGGTGGATGAGGTCACACTGTAAAGTTTTTATTTGACAGATTGCCATACCAGAAGCCATGTGTGACACAGAGCGTTGTCATGATGGAGGATGATTTACGGCACACTTTAAAATACACTTTCTCTCAACCGTAGTTCACACTTGACTGACTGCACCAAACAAGTTGAAACTTGTCACACACTGTTACTAAGATTTGATGTGCCACTTCCCATATTAAAGATCCTTGCCTTTCTGTTGGATGGCACTGGGCAACAGCATTCACCGTATATTTTGATCACACCTTGTATATATAATATAGACAATTGAAGTGTTCCATAAGTCCTCTGTTTTACGTGTCAGCTTCATAATCTGTCAGAACATTCTTTTTTTTTTTTTAGCTGAGTCATCCTGCCACCTGTTGGCAGCTCAGCGGCTGCTCAGCTCGGGCCAGGAATCGAACTGCTGTTGCTCAGAGCTCAAACTCTTGAGCGAGCTCTTAACCAACTGAGCCACTCGGCCGGCCCCCCTGTCAGAACATTCTTTCCTATATCTATCATATGTTTAGGAAGTAGTGGTTTATACCTACATTGAGCTCACTTCTATATATCTACTTTTAACTTATAATTCTCTCCATTTTTTCTTTCATTCATGGATTTGTGGATTTCTATATAGAAAGATATGTTCTTAACATGTAGTATCACTTTTCCTGTCTATTTATGGTCTACTTTGAACAGTTTCTCTTTCCACTTACTGTTTCACCCATAAATCCTAAATTTCAATAGTCTATAAGTTTGTATTTGCCTATTTCTATTAAAATTCCAGATTCACTTATTATAAAAGTATTTGTGCATGGATCTAGATATATCAGACAAAGTCAGTTTTCCTGTTGTCATTGTCAGTGACTTTGTTGTCTTGTGTTAAAGGCTATGGTGAGTAAGTTGATTTTTAATCTTTTACTCACTATTTTCCTTTTGACTCAGTGATAAAAGTTAGCTTTCAGCGTGTAACATAGTGGTTCAGAATGTGGGTGGGTTCTGCAGCTAGACAAATCTCAGACAGTGAAATTGAACAAGTTGCATGCCATGTCTGTGCCTGTGTCTTCATCGGTAAAATGGGGAAAAGGATAGTTCTAGCAGGGTTGTGTGAGGACTGAATTAGTTAGTACTTGTGAAGTGCTTAGATCAGTGCTTGGCACATAGTAAGCTCTCAGTGAATATTACCACCCTCTTTTGCTGTTGCCTCCTTCTCTTGTCATTTGCAACAGAAAAGATTTACAACAGTCTCTGGTATATAAAACGACCTCAAAATATGTTAACTATGATTATAATTGTTCTGTTTAGTATCTGTGTAATTAGTATCTGTGTTTAATGCAGTGTAATTAATAAAGACTTTTCCTTACTTTTTCCCCCAGAGTGTTACAGTGATTTTTTAAATGAAGACTTTGATGTAAAGACTTATACTTCCCAATCTATTCATCAAGCTGTAATTGCTGAACAACTAGCAAAACTTGCCCAAGGAATCAGTCAGTTGGATAAAGAACTACACCTACAGGTAATTCCAATCTTCTGGATCATGTGGATTATTCAGCCTAAAGCGATAATTTATCATTTTTATAATCCATTTATTTTTTAATCTAAATGCCCATTTACATGAACACATATATAACTTACCAGTATGGCTTGTTTCAAAGTATATTTTTGAAAAGTTTTCTGTAAACTACTTTTTGTGGAAAAACGAATATACCCATCTGTCCAAAACCTATTATTCATACTTTGTTTTTACCACCTTAACTGACATGCAGTGAATATAGGTGGACAAAATATAAGATGACATTGATCAAGATAATAGAATGTGGAATTTGGAAATAGAACGGTGTGAATAAGAAAAATTGGGATGTTCACATTGGCAGTTCATACTTCACGAGCACAAAGTGTAACACTTGCTGCAATTACAGAAAGTTGATAAATTTGTGGTGGATAGAACACAATATAGGACAATCTCAGCTGTGCTGTTGCCTTTTATATTACTTAATGTCTTTCAGTATTGCTTCGTTTTTTAAAAAATTTGTCAAGTGGGTTGGAGTGAATAAGGAGGAAGAGGAGACTGTAGTAGAAAATCTTAAAAGTTCTTCCTCTACTACAATTCTGTAATTTTTATCGGGTGGTTGTATGGAATACTCCCTAGTGTTGTCTTTTGTCTGAGTAGGCACTTAATAAACATTTCAGTGAATGGACAAATTCATAAGTAAATGGACTGTTTACCAGGAAACCTAGATTTGGTATCACATGAGACATAATCACTTAAATTTTTTGTCTTTATCAATTAAAAGAGCAGCTTAGTTTGGACTGGGATGATTTCTAAGGTCATTTTAAATTGAAAATTCTTATTATATTATTAGAGTTCAATATTTACTGATAAACATTGATAAAACACTTTTAATTGTCAGGCTCTGCATTAGGCTCTGTAGATAGAATAATAAACACATTTTTTTGGCTCCCCAAGGACTCACAGACCAGTGGCAGATATATACAGAGATAATGAAGGCTAGTGATACCTGTTTTAAATATTGGGTTGTCAGAAAAGTCATCACGCATTTTTGCAACGAAAAACATAGAAAAAATACATCATGAGTTTTCCGACAACCCAATAGAATGGCACAAAGTGTTTCTGGAAACGGGAGAAGGTACTTAATCCTGCCTAGGGATGTTGGGGTGGCTTTGTGCAAGAACCACCCCTGAAATTCTTTCTGCCCTTTTATGGGCATGTATTAGTTTTTGCTTAGTACAGGAAGCAGAAACTGATTTGGGTATTTAAAGTAGGACCCTATTTAATACACAGAATTGGGTGCTGATGTAATCGTCGGATGACAGTTAGTGGACTGAGTTGAAGGCTGTATGATAGATGCAACACTGAGGCCCAGAAGCTCCTGCTGTCACCTCCCATGCCGTTGCTGTGGGTACCTGGTAACTAAACTCGAGAGTGACCAGCTAGCTCAGCTGTCTGTAAGGCCTCAGGTCTCAGGACCTTGCTGGCTAATTGAAACAATAGCAGGAAGATAGCTTTCCTCTTTTGTCTTCCAAATCTCTTGGAAATTTGTCCAATAGGCTATAGGGGAGTTTATGAAACTGTAGTTTCAGGCTTTTCAACCTTTCCAAAGTATTTATCATAAGGGACAAAGAAAAATAGAGAATTAGAAGAAAATTAGTCTTATTAGAATGGACACAGTGATGACTATATTAATGGCTGGGGAAAATTCAGATGTCGTCTGGCAATTGTAAGCATGAGCGGTATAGAAGACCAAAAGTAACACTTATTTTAGAGGGATATGCTAGAAAGGGACTTGATAGAGTGACAGGGATACCTGAAACAGGATTAAGTGAGGGATGCAGGGCTTCAGTGAATGACTCCTTGGTGATTAAGAGCTTCAGTTTACAGATTAGACGTGAAACTCTAAAGTGGACAGAATGAGGATTCTTGTATTATTCTAAAGATTCACATGATTTCTTAATGTTTCTAGGAATCTCTTCATGTGGCCTTTAACTCTTAATCTTTTCAATTTTTGAATATGACCATTCACACAGCCCTGACCTTCATAAAAACATCACCTGTCTGCAGGGAGGAGGATTTGCTGTGACCCTGGGAAAGCTAGAAGCAAAGAGAGATGTGCAGGGGTAGGTGGGCACCGATTCTGCCTCATCTCCCGGTTGGAATGTGGGCTTAACGATGCTGAATTCAGTTCAAGAACTAAGAAAATCTGATCCTTCAAAACATTTTCTTTAAAGGGAAAGCATATAATAGCATGCCAAGAATTAGCCGTTTTTTATTTTTCAGTTTTGACACAACTCCACCTGCATATCCCATTAGGAAAGCAAGGGACTAGTGAAAAGGCTGTACCTTCTTAGGCTCTATGTCAAACTATAAGTGTTTGTGTTCCTGCTAATAACGCGAACACACCTTCGTACCTGTTTTTTGTTTTTTTTTCATGTTAATATTTGCTCCCTTCCTATATGGAGAGAGACCTTGTGATTACAAAGAAAAATAGCTTACACTTAGAGGGTGTGCTGATTATTCATTTTTTATTTTCAGGTTGTTGCAAGACATGAAGATTTACTGGCACAAGCAACTGGGATTGAGTCTTTGGAAGGTATATTTCCGTTAGCTATTACAGATTATATAGAGTTAGACCAGGCATTGGCAAACTGTTTCTGTTAAGGGTCAGATAGTAAATATTTCAGATTTTGCAGACCATACCGTCTCTGTCCAACTACTAAATTGTTATTGCAGAATGAAAGCAGCCAGAAAATACATAACTGAATGTGTGTGGCTATGTTCCAACAAATCTTTAATAAAACTTTGCTGACGCCTGAGCTAAGCTATCTGGGTTCAAATCCTTGCTTTGCCATTCACTAGATACTTGCATGTGACTTTGGACAAGTTACTTAATCTTTTTGTGCCTTAGTTTCATCTATGACGGAGGAGTATTTATATGTACTCACATGATGTTATTCTGAGGATTAAATGAGCTAGCAGAATGCTTAGAACAATTCCTGGCACTTGCTTAGTGTTTCTGTAACTGTTAGTTAATTACAACAAAAATATCCAGAACACCACAGTGGATAGTAGTGAAAGTAAGCTTGAATTCTTCCTTATTTTTGGCTTTTTTTTGAAACTTTTCAGTGAATGGGTGGTAGAATAATAATACATTGGTTTTTTATTTTTATGAATTCTCTTTTTGTTTGGCTAAATCTTCTATGAATTTTTATCTCTCTTGATTAAACTATATCTCATAAATATGAAATGTTAATATCATGTTTTATATTATCACTTGTGATTACTGTTATTCATCATTACACATCAAAAGAAAGCTAATTGATGTTTTACTGTGTTGATCAAATTCTTGAGGAGGAAGAATATTGCTTTTTGTGATGCAATATTCTTTAATGTTTCCCCCAGTATTTTTTATGCACTCAAAGGTATATTATTCTCAGCATGTGTGCTGTTTCTAAGACATCTTGATGAGGAACCTAGTATTTTCAGAAATAATAGTTTGACTATTATTTTAATATTTAGGATATATATCAGACTGTATTCTTGGGAAAATTAAAAGGCTCTAAGTACTGACTTAGTATTGGAAATTTTTTTTTCTCTATTTTTTATGTGTTTCTGGAAGCCAGTAAATAACCTGTTTTAATGGTAATTTTTGTAAACAAATGATAAATGATTGTTTCATTTGTAAAAACCCCTAAGAAATCAGTAATACATTGATTTTGAGTATATGTATGAATGTATATGTGTATATCTGAATCATCATAATTGAAATACTTCTCATTGTGGTTTTCTTATATGTGTTTAGTTCTGTCATGGGCTTGTTTTTCCCAGAATGCTTTTCAGTGATTACAACATTTAAAATATACTTTTGGACTGAGATAGAATCACTGTTCGTTGGATGAGTGTGTTACAGTACAAAGGCTGGCTTCTCTGAATTCCTATGATAATTTAAGAGTATTCTCCAGATTATTTGAACATAAAAAGTCAAAGTATGAATTGGTTAGTATTCATTTCAGCATTGTGTATTTTTAACCACTTATGGTATGTTCTTTTGAGATGCTGAAAAGTTAAGTGTAGTATGTATTTGGAAAAGAATATTATCCCAACTTCTACTTCATTTGCTTTTTGTCCTGTATATTTAAAATTTTGCTGTATAAGTAGTTTGGAGATATATTTATTAAGCCTATTTTATTCATTTTTTTTCATTTATTCATTTAAATATTAGATGAGAATTTGCTAAGTTCCAGGCAGCTGTAACAGTAGACAGAGGCCCTATCCTTATGGAATGCATGTTTTATAAAAAGAGATATCCTCATTCATTCATTTGTTCACTCAATCAAATAGTAATTGAGAACTAATAATTGAGGTATCAGGCACCTGTGAACAGCACACATGTCACTGTTCCTATGGAACTTATTTTCTAGGTGGGGAAGTAGACAAAAAAAAATGTACAAATAGGAAACTTCAGATTTTCATTCTAAATGTAATGGTAAATCATTGTAGGGTTTGAATTAGGGGTATTGTGTGATGAGATGAATGCTCTTGAATGTGTTCTCTGGCGGTCCTATAGGAAAGCAGGAGTAGAATCGGTACCAATTTAGAAGCTATCAGGGTGGTAGAAGTTGATTAGAGTGGCGGAAGTAAAGAGAGAGAGCGAAGTAGCTGGGATAAAATGGGGCAGAGCTGATAGGATTTGTTGATGGGAGATGAAAAGGCTTAGGGAAAAAGTCACTGGGAGTGATTCTTTAAGATTTTAGTCCGGAATATTGGATAGATGGTGGTATGAGTCACTGAGATGGGTTAGACTAGAGAATATTATGATTTTGATGGGTCAGGGTGGGGAAGAAGTTATCTTGGGTGTCTTAAATTTGAAATAAGAGAGTTCAGGACTAGAGATTGTGTGTGTGTGTGTGTGTGTGTGTGTGTGTGTGTGTGTGTATGTGTACATAAATAGGCAGATATAAAGAAAATCTATATAGATATATGTACATATGTATATATAAGTGGATGCATGTAAGTATAAAATCAGTACCTTATTGAACAGATAATATTTAAAACATTGGGATTAAATGAAATTCCTAGGAGAGATAGATGAGAGGTGAAGATGGCTGAGGATCTAATCTTGGAGTACTTCTAGCATGTGGAGATCTAACAGAGGAGGAGTAGGTGCAACTAATGAGAAGAGGAAATCCAGGGAGTGTGATGACTTGGAATCCCTGCGAAAAAAATACTTTAGAGAGGGAGTGGTTTAACTATGTCATGAATTTCTGAGAGTTCTGAACAAGGTAAAGACAGAACCAACAATCAATAATTGAATTTGGCATCTTGGAGATTTCTGGTGTCTTTGATAAGATTGTTTTGATGGAGTATGTATAAAAAGCCTATTGAGATTGACTTGTGAAGAGAATAAGGTATAAGGAAGCAATGATAACAAGTAAGGGCAGTCCATTCTTAGAGGTTTAAGGTCAATGAACCATAAAACTAGCTGAAAAATGAGACTGCTTGGGGCCAGAGAGGATTCTATTGGACTGAGCCATATTAAAGCATATTTATATGCTGAATGGAATGTTTATTAGTTCTAATATTATTTTATCTAATATATGACAACATTCTATACTTAAATTTATTTAGAGTAATATGTTTCAAACTATAACTATGCCAGTAGATATAGAAACTGAGTTTTAAAGAATGGATTTCAGGGTCTGGCTGAATGGCTCATTGGTTAAGAGTTGGCTTGGGAGTGCGAGCTCTGAGCAGCAGGGCTGCTAGTTCGGATCCCACATGGGCCAGTGACGTGTGCCCTCTACAGCTAAGATGGTGAACAACAGCTCAACCTGGAGCTGGGCTGCTGTAAGTCACCGGCGACAGCATAGGCTGCAGTGGGGCTGCAGTGGGCTGCCGTAAGCTACCGTGAGTGGTCGGCAGCTGGTGTGAATGGTCATGAGTCACCGTGAGCAGCCGTCCAATGGCTGGTGACCGATCTGCCTTCGCCGGGAAGAGCGCAATGATCACAATACCAACATGGGCCAATGAAGCAACGTCCTCCACAACTAGACTGAAGAACAAAAGGACAGCAACTTGTCTGTTCTCCTTCCCCGATTCCCCAACACTATTCCCTCCCCCAATTCCCCAATAAAAAAAAAATCTAAAAAAAAGAATGGATTTCAAAGTAATTAAATCTGTAATAGTGGAAAGCCTATTTTTAGGCACACATAATAGTAAAATTTAAGATCTATATGAAAATATTTGTACAATTTTGTAAAAAGATTTTCATTATGTTGTATATGTGGAGAGTAAAGGCAGTAATATACTTGCCATCCATGTTTATCATTTATCTAGCATATAGTTGAATAAGATATTTATTGACCACTTTCCATAGGCTCTGGCTACACAATAGTGAATGAAAAAGATACTTTCCATAATGGTTGGAATTTATAGTCTAGTAAGAGTAAAACATTAAACAGATATACAAATGGGTATGTAATTACTTAATGTAATTAGTGCCTTGAAAGAAGAAAATCACAAGAGAATCTAAACTAGTTCAGGGATCTGTTAATGATTGTTTATGTTAAGCCATGGCTTGAACTAATAGTAGTTTATCCACTTAGAACCTGGCAGGGGTTTGGGAGTTGTAGAGACCATACCTGACAGAGATACACCATTTCCAGGTCATGTAGGGCCTTGTAGACCAAGCTGTAGACTTCAGTTCTAACATAGGAGCGAAGGAGAGACTATGGAAAGGTGTTAGCAGAGCAATGTTATGATATAATTTCAATTTTAAACATCGCTGAGGCTTCTCTTTTTTTGTAATTATAGTACAATACACATTAACATGAAATTTACCATTTGATCCATTTTAAAGTATATAATTCAGTGGCATTAGTACATTTACAGTATTGGGCAACCATCATTATCTAGTTCCAGAACTTTTCATCACCCCAAATGGAAACCCTCTACCCATTAAGCTGTCACTCCCCATTCTTTGTCAGACTTCTTTAGTGGAGCAAGGATTGGAGGGGGAGATAGTTAGAGGCTTTTATAATAGTGCTGATAAAGCTACTAGCTGCTTTGATGACGATGGTGGCAGAAAAAAAAATTGAAATTGTTCTCTATGTGTATATGTAAAAATTTATTTTTATGTTTTAATTTAACTTTTTACCCAATGTGCGCCCTTGTAAATTTGTAAAGTAATGTAAGCTGTTATGTTTTCCTAGGTGTTCTTCAGATGATGCAGACAAGAATTGGGGCTTTACAGGGAGCTGTTGATAGGTACTGTTGTTCATTTTGTAAACAAATGGAATGAAAGAATTTTTCTCTGTTGATATTTTGAAGATTATTTTATTGTCACTCTTCTCTTTATTTTTCTTTTAGGATGAAAGCAAAAATTGTTGAGCCATATAATAAAATAGTCTCCCGTACTGCACAACTAGCAAGACTTCAGGTAGGTTCTCACTTTTCATTTCTCTGTACTTTGTTATTCGTTTTGTTTTTACAAATGGACAGATTTCAAGAGAATGAATTCTGAGAAAATAAGCTGATATGAGAGAGTAGGGGAAAAATACTAAAGAGCTTTCAAATAAGATATCTAGTTAAAAAAATACAAATCTAAACTACTGTTCAAGTGAATTATTCTCTCTCTTATTGCAGAGTATAATCAGTTATTAACTCTTCAGAATTCAAAATTATTCCTTTTAATAGAGAACAGAAAGAAGCCTAGCATATATTGAGTTCTTGCAGTTTGTTGTCATTAAATGTAAGGAACCCAAAACTATAATTGTTCTAATAGCAGTGCTTATTCAGGAAATTCAGGTTTTGATGAAAATTTAGTGATTTTCTAGCTTTATGAGGAAGATACACAAAACAGTTTTTTATTTTATTTTCCACATAGTTTCCATAGGTTATTCAAAAGTGATTTGCTTTTAGTTAGATATGTAGATTGTTTTAGACTTTTCACAATTGTAGGTATTACTGCTGTGAATTATTTTATTTATATATACAGCTTTATCTCTTCTTCATGTTATTTTCCTAGGAAATCCAGTAACTTTGCACTTCATTTTAGAAAGGCAAAGTAAAATTCTCTTTTATTCCCCTCATTCCCTTGTTATGTTTCATTCATGTAGTCTGAGGGTCTGCTACTGCCCTCATTTTTTTTCGTCTGTTAGCAGCATCTTTCTCTTCTCCCTTGGTGATCTTATTTACCATTGTTCTGTCAGCATCCTGTCCTTTCTCCATTGCTTTTCTTACACGCTGTTGTTTTTTCTACAGTCTCACTGCTTTATCCATACCTTCTCGCCTGTTCGCACCACGGACAACCTGGCTTATAACATATAATGTCTGTCCTGTGACAGACCCCTGGGAATCACAAAGGGTCTTGGAGTCTTGCCTCAGTTCATTTACCATCACCAAACCTTCCTCTCCTCCAGATGCTGGCCTAAGGTCTGGTGCGGGGACATCCTTAAGACTGGTATTTTCTCCAAAATAGCTGATAGTAGAGTAGGGGAGACAGGCTGATGATTATAATGATATAATAAAGTCAGTGATAGTGGTAATTAACATTACAGAGTGTTTACCACCTGCATTATCTTATTTATCCTGATAGTAATCCAAAGAAATTGTTTTATAGTCACAGATATTCCAAGTTTTTCATCAGTTTACTTTTAACCTCTTTGTCTTATACTTAAAGTGCTTACAGGCAGCATGTAGTTGGGTCTTGCTTTTTTAACCCATCTTATAAAATCTGCTTTTCAGTTGGGGTACTTACACCATTTATATTTCATGTGGTTATTAATATGGTTAAGTTTAAGTCTGTCATGTTGTTATCTGTTTTTCCTATTCTCTTTCCTTTTTTCCCTCTTTTTCTGCCTTGGTTTGGGTTGAGTATTTTTATGATTCCCTTTGCTTCCTTTGTTGGCTTATTAGCTATAACTCTTGTTTTTTAATTTTATTTTACGGATTGCACTAGAATGTATTGTATACATTTTAACTTCTCAGTGTACCTTCTGGTGATATTATCCCACTTCACATAGCGTATAAGAGCCTTACAATAGTATACTTTCATTTCTTCCCTCCTAGCTTTTGTGCTATTATTATATAATACATTTTACTTTTACATATGTTATAAACCCCACAATACATTGTTATTGGTTTTATTTAAACAGTCACTCATCTTTCAAAGAGATTTAAAAAGAAAATCTTGTACATTCGTCTGTGCAGTTACCATGCTTTTCTTTCCTGTGACTCGACTCGTATTTCTAGGTGGTACTATTTTCCTTTTGCCCCAAAAAACTATTTTACCATTTGTTTTAGTGTGAATCTGCTGTTGATGAATCTTTCAGCTTTCGTATGTCTAAAAAAGTATTTAATCTTTCATATGTCTAAAAACGTCTTTATTCTTTCATTTCAAAAGCTATTCTGCTGGACATAGAATTCTGGGTTGAATGATTTGTTGTTTTCAGTACCTTAAAAATGCTGCTCAACTGTCTTTTCATTTGCATCGTTTCCTATGAGAAATCTGTTATTATCTTTGTTTCTTTGTACATAGTGTATTCTTTTTCCCACTGTTTTAAAATTTTTCACCTTATCACTGGGTTTTGATCAATTAGATTATGACATGCCTTGGTGTCGTGTGTGTGTGTGTGTGTGTGTGTTGTGTGTGTGTTGTGTGTGCATGTTTGTTTTTGCTTAACAGTTCATTGTGCTTATTGGATCTGCAGGTTTAAAATTTTTATCAAATATGGAAAATGTATAGCCATTATTTCTCCAAATATTTTTTCTGTTCCTGCCCTTTCCTCTCCTTCGGGGACTACAATTACACATATACTGAATTAGGTGTCTTCAGGATATCCCTGGATGCCGAGATCACTGGATGCTCATTTTCTTCTCTCCCTACAGCCTTCTTTTCCCTGGGTGTTTTATTCTGGGTAATTTCTATCTTTTTGTCTTCAAGTTCACTAATCATTTGTTCTGTACTGGTTAATCTAATCTCATTCAGTATTTTTCTTTCTTTTTTTTTTTTTTAAAGATTTTATTTGGGAAGGGGAACAGCCAAGTTGTTGTCTTTCAATCTTAGTTGTGGAGGGCACAGCTAGCTCAGCTCCAAGTCGAGTCGTCATCCGGCCACCTGTTGGCAGCTCGGCTGCTCAGCTCAAGGTGCTGTGTTCAATCTTAGTTGCGGGTAGGCGTAGCCCATCGTCCCATGCGGGAGTCCAACCAGCAACCTTGTTGTTAGGAGCACATGCTCTCACCAGCTGAGCCATCCTGCCACCTGTTGACAGCTCAGTGGCAGCTTGGGCACAGCGTCACTGGCCCACGTGGGAATCAAACCGGTGGCCCTGTTGCTCAGAGCTCGCACTCTTAAGCTAACTCTTAACCAACTGAGCCACTTGGCTGGCCCATCTACTTAACTTTTTGAACATATGGAATACTATTAAAATAACTTTTAATGACTTTGCTAATTTATGGAGTTTGTCAGTCACACTATAGTCCAGTTTTAAAACATTTCCATCACTGCAAAAAGATCTGTCATGTCTGTTTGCCACTGTCTTATTCTGTTAGGGCTGTTATAACAATACCACAGACTGGGTGGCTTCTAAACTAGAGAAATGTATTTCTCACAGTTCTGGAGGCTGGAATTGTGAATCAGGGTGCATCTTGGTGAGGGCCCTCTTCTGGGATGCAGAAAGTCATTTCCTTGTTATGTCATCACATGGTGAAGAGGTTTAGGGAGCTCTGGGGCCCCTTTTATAAGGACACTAATCCCATTCATGAGGGCTTGACCCTCATGACCTTGTTACCTCCCAAAGGCCCCACTTTGAGGGTTAGAATTTCAACATGTGAATTTTAACATTTAGTCTATTTCCAGCCGTTAGTCCTTGTTCCCACCCCAGCTAATCGATTTTGTGTCTCTAGATTTGCCTTTTCTGGTCATTTCATGTAAATGGAATCATACAAGAGATCGTGTTTTGTATCTGGCTTCTTTTACTTTGCATAATGCCTTTGAGGTTCATCCTTGTTGTAGAATATCACCAGTAGTTGATTCTTTTTATACTGCTGAGTACTGTTGTATTTTATGGATGTACCCCATTTTGTTTATTCATTCACCAGTTGATGGACATTTGGATTGTTTCCAGTTGTTGACTTTTATGAAAATGCTGCTATGAACATTTGCTTACATGTATTTGTATGGACCTATGCTTTCATGTCTCTTAGGTAGATTTCTAAATATGGAATTGCTGGGTTGTGTGGTAAGTTTGTTTAATTTTTTAGGGAATGACCATATTGTTTTCCAGTGTACCTATGCCGTTTTACATTCTCGTCAGCATGTGAGGGATCCAGTGTCTACAATCTTCACAACATTTGTTATTTTCTGTTTTTTTATTATGGCCTTTCTAGTAGGTGTGAGGTGGTATCTTGTTATGGCTTCAGTTTACATTTCTTAAGGACTAATGATATTAAGCACCTTTTCATGTGATTATTAGTCATTAGTATATCTTTAATCTATGCAGCCTATTCACATCTTTTAGCCATTTTTAAAATGAGTTGTTTTATTGTTGAGTTGTGAGAGTTTTTTATAAAGTTTTTTATAAGTACTTTATCTGATGTATGATTTGCAGTGTTTTCTCCCATGATTTGACTTTTCTTTCTTATTTATTTATTTTTTTAAAGATTTTATTGGGGAATTAGGGAAGGGGAACTGACAAGTTGCTGTCCTTTTGTTCTTTAGTCTAGTTGTAGAAAACATCGCTTCACTGGCCCATGTTGGTATTATCATTGTGCTCTTCCCAGGTGAGGCAGTTGCTCACCGGCCTTTGGACAGCTGCTCACGGCAGCTCACGGCAGCTCATGAAAGCGCACGCCCGCTGCCGGCCAGCCCCTCTGCAGCCTACACCATCGCCGGTGACTTACTACAGCCCAGCTCCAGGTCGAGCTGTTGTCCACCATCTTAGCTGTAGAGGGCGCAGCGTCACTGGCCCTCATATGTGGGATCTGCACTGGGGCCTTGCTGCTCAGAGCTGGCGTCCCAAGCCAATTCTTAACCAGCGCGCCACTCAGCTGGCCCTTGACTTTTCATTTTTTAAATGGTGTCTTTTGAAATACAAAATTTTAAATTTTGATGAAGCCCAAATTATCTTATTTTCTTTTTTTGGATTGCTAACACGAAGATTTTTTTTGAAAAATCTTTTCTTTCTCCATTGAATTTTTTTGTTGCCTTCACAAAATTGAATTGACCATATATGTGTAGGATTATTTCTGGACTCTACTCTCTCAATTGATCTAGTTTTTGGCCTTTGTATTAACAGTACACTGTGTTAATTACTGCAGCTTTTGAGTAAGTCCTTTTTTTTTTTTTATAGCCAAATGACTTTGAAAAAGGATACTATTTTAATTCCTTTGCAATCCATATAAATTTTACAACCAGCTTGTCAGTTTACCGAAAATCTG